TAGGAGAGGAGAGGAGAGGAGAGGAGAGGAGAGGAGAGGAGGGGAGAGGAGAGGAGAGGAGAGGAGAGGAGAGGCGAGGCGAGGCGAGGCGAGGCGAGGAGAGGAGAGGAGAGGAGAGGAGAGGAGAGGAGAGGAGAGGAGAGGAGAGGAGAGGAGAGGAGAGGAGAGGAGAGGAGAGGAGAGGAGAGGAGAGGCGAGGAGAGGAGAGGAGAGGAGAGGAGAGGAGAGGCGAGGAGAGGAGAGGAGAGGAGAGGAGGGGACCGCACCCCACACAAACGCGTCGTACGTGACCACGTCTGCGGGCAAGACGTCGGCGTGGCGCGCGAGCGTCGTCTCGCGCAGCGCGGCGTACTCTGCCTGCAGCTTGGCCTGGAAGGAGCGCGTCGAGTCCAGCGCGCCCGACCCCTTCAGCAGCGCCAGCTCCGCCTACGTGCTGAAGACGCCAGCCTCAGGGCGGTGGAAGACGGTGCTGTGCAGAGTGTTCAGAGCAAAGCGTGAGAACAACGGGTACGAACACAGGGAATGCCGCTGAGCACGGCTGGACACAGTTGAATACGTGTCCTCTCGAGCGCTGGTTGGGATACAAGAATCCGCATTCCCCTTCTAGGCCCCTCCGCCTCGGCCCACGCGTAGCTCGGCCCGACGTCCTCGATGCTCGGCAGCACGCCAATGTAGGGCGCCCACATCGACGCGGAGCCCTTGGCGCGCTCGTGCACCAGCAGCAGCGCGAGCGCGATGTACTCGCCCATCTCCTCCGGCACCGCGGCGCCCAGCACCTCCTGCGCGCGCGCCTTTGTCATCACCAGCCGGCCTGGCACCTCGAGCAGCCGCTCGTTCTGGATGATGCTGCGCCGCGCAATCAGCCCGCGGCCAGACGGCTCAAAGTCGTCACTGGTGTCGGACTCGACGCGCAGCGGGTGGCCAGCGCGGCCCCAGCCGCTCTGGGGAGACATGTACACGTCGTTGTCCTGCAGCCAGCTCACAAGTTCCTCCTCGCGCGCCCGCGCCGCCTTGGCCTCGTCGGTCAGGCTGGCAGCGCCACCGAGCCAGCCAAGCGACGGCGGCACGGCGCGCGCGGAGCGGTCGCTGGGCGGAGCGGTCCGTGGGGCGTGGAAGGCGAGGCTTTGCGCGGCGATGGCTGCTAGCATTGCGCGCTTCGCAAAAAGAGAAAATCAAGCTCGATCCACGACCTACCTACCTATTTTTGCGCTGGAGGGGCGGTGGGGTAGGAACGACGACAGACACTAGCATAGGGGAGGCGCGCTTCGACGACTGCGGATCGCTCATGTCCGTTGATGCGGCCCGCGGTCCACGCCCGGGCCGCCCAAGGCAAGCTCGCGGGCTCGCAGGATGGCGAGCCGATGCCCGACGCTCCGCACGCCGACCTGCGGCGAGAGGAGCCGCCGCTCGTGTGAGTCTCGTCTTGCGAGGCGGGATGGAGTGCTCAAGTGGCGCGCCTCGGCGAGGTCCTCGCGGCCGAGCAGCGCGAGCGCTCTCCCGTCAATGTGGTTGACTCGAAAGTCGTCCGAATACTCGCCTGGGCAGCGGCGAAGGGGGGGTGTAAAGGGCCGTGGGTCTGCGGATCTCGCCGTGATTCACCCTCGCCTAGGCCAATGGAGTGCAGCCAGCTGCAGACTTCGCCGTTGCTCCAGGAATCAAGTCGTGCCGCCGCCGAGCCGCCGCGAGCGCCGCCCGCCTCGGCCGAGGAGCCCTCCGGGCCGGGGCGTCCCTCAGGGACTGGCGAAGCGGATCCGGACGACAGAAAACGAGAAATAAAGGAGCCCACTGCGTTGGCACCGGCTCCGGCGGAGGCGTTTGGTGGCGGCAACGGTGCGGCCCGGGAAATGCTCGCAGACGGCGCGACGTTGGTGCCGGCGTCCGACAGATCGGAGAAGCCGCCGTGTATGCTTGGCGTGCGGCTTCTTCGCGGCGAGGAACATTGTTGGAGCGCCGGTGGTGGTGGCGCCAGTGGCGGCGGCGGTGGCGAGTCGCAGCGACTCGAGCGCCTGCATGTGCGCCGCGGGTGCTATGGCTGGGAGCGGGGAGCATCGTGGGGCAAGGCTCGAAGTGGCGCGCCTCGATAGTGGCGCCCCGCGCTGGTGCCGCCGCGCCGCCACGCCGCCGCCGCTCGAGTCGCTCGAGTCGCTCGACCTGCTGCTGCCTCCGCCTGCCGCGCGGCGAGGGCAGGGCGGAATGCGACCTCAAGGCTAGAGGAATGGGAGCTGGAGTGTGGGAGCTGGAGTGTGTGACCGCTAGACTCACCACTGCGCTCGTCGGTACAGCTCGCCGTGCCGATGCTGCCTCCTTCGCTGCTGCCATCGCTGCCGAACTCCTCCTCGCTGCCACTTTCCCCGTAGCTCTCCTCGCCATTGCTGCGACTCCCCTCCACGGAATGCGCCTCTTCAAAGCCCTCGCGGCCAGCGGCGCTGCTGCTGTCCGTGTCGTCAGCGCTCTCACTGCCGCTACCTTCATCGCTGCTGTCCGTACTGCCTCCGCGGTGCGCACGTACGGGTCTCCAGCGGCTGTCCTTGCGCCGCCTGCCATCACGATCACCGCATCCTCCTCCGCCGAGGGAGTAGTGCATCTCAACCTCGCTCTCTTCGTCGCTGCTACTGGTCACGCTGCCTTGAGCGGGAGTCAGGAGAGGGCGTCCCATCCCTCCTAATTGGCGGCCCACGGGATCGGTCCTCCATTCCTTGTGACTGCTCTTGCTCTCGCCGTCGCTGCGGCCCTCAGAGACGCCCTCGTGCTCGGCCTCGCCGTTGCCACAGCCTTCGCGGCTCCGACAGTCACCGCCGTCGCATGTGAGGGGTGTGCTCATGGAAGGCTGCTCGCCGCCGCTGGAACTGCCCTGGCTGCCGCCTTTGTGGCTCCCACTCCTTGGCTTTGCTGCCCGGTTGGCGCTGCGCAGGCTTTGCCTCACAGGGCTGCCTTGGTCAGCTGCCCTCCTTGCATTGATCACTGCCGGGGGAGTGAGCCGTCTAGGCGGCGGCGGCGGCGCTCTGAGGCGCGGGCAAGTCCTGTCGTCCTGCAGGACCACCTGCGGAGCCTGCTTTGCCCTCGGCGACGACCCGTCCTCAGACCGTCCTGCAAGCGAGAGCACAGCCCGGAGCGGCGAGGTGGAGACACGAACGAGCAGCAGGGCTAGATACCTGAGGAGCCCGACTGCGTGGCGAGGGCTCAGCGGCTCGTTGCACGCCACACCGGTCTCAAGGTCTCGCATATGTCGTCGTGGGCAGAGCGCCCGTCGCGAGACTTGCAGGACCTTGTTCTGTTGTTTGTTCACAAAGCACTCACTCTCACACCCTTTTGACTCTACAGCCTCTCAGTCCAAAATCAGCCGCAGCGACCGCAGCGACGGCCGCGAGCGGCGCGAGCGTAGCCGAACCACGATCGACGCGAGGACGCAACCACACCAAACTTGGCCTCCCGCGACGGGGACGCCACCACCCTTGCTTGCTTGCCTGCAGTTTGTGTCCAGAGACGCCGACCTCGTCACCGCCGTGTGTTGAATGTACGTCTTGACACTGCTCGCTGTGTGCTGCACTTGCTGCTCTGCGCCGAGAGAGACGCGAGACGCTGCGCGTTTGTGTGCTGTGTATTCTTCGTGGAAACGCGAGCGTGATTTTGCGACTGGAAGAAGGCGGGTATGTATCGCGGATCGTCAATCGCTGACGTGACCGTGATTCGAGGCCGCCCGTCCACCATTGATGCCGTCCAACACCAAAGTCGTTCCCCCTCCAACACCAAAGTCGTTCCCCCCCCCCCCGTCCCCCTCGGACACGTCCCTCCCTGTCCTCTCGACTGCTTCCCTCTTTTACATACATAAATAACACCGCGTACACCGTGTCGTACACCGTACAAGGTACATGTCAAGGGAGAGACGCCGTCGGCATGCTACTAGAGGCCTCATAAGAGGCTGGTGCATTGCCATTCATGCTACTAGATAGGAGGCTCCTTCGGCGCGCACGCCGTCGTGTCCGAAGCGTACATGGGGTATCAGAAGCGCGCCGCGGCCGAACAAACGTTTAACAGTGTTGCCCCCA